TGGGCTGCTCCAGCTGGGGCCGGGTCACCGTCCCACTATGAGCTGTCTGCGGCACAGAGCCACCGTCCTGCCGGCCACCGGAGAGCAGACAGAGCTGGAGGAACCGGCTCGGGGCAGAGTTTGCCGCACACACGGAGCCTCCAGCGCGGGAATGATCCAACCCAGAAGCTGTAAGGCCAGCAGCCCTACGTGGCCGCTCGGCACCGGGCATTACTGATAAGGACAAGGAGGAGGACCCGGCCTTTCCGCCTGTTCCCAGCCCGTGGCTCCACTTCCAGCAGCCTCGCAGCCATCAGGGCTCTCAAGTGCCCCTGGATTTACTCTGGCTGGTGGGGAGCCCATCCCACCCTCCCCATGAAACACATCCTGCCTGCCCTGGGGAGCGCCAGCGGCCGCAGAGCACGGCAGGGCACCGAGGGCAGGCGGGAGCCCGCTCCGCTCCGGGGTCTCTTTCATTTTCGGGAACAAAGCAGCCTGTTTTCATCAGGACGCGGTTGGCAGCATCCCCGCCCCCCCCAGAGATACGGGACCATCATCCAAGCTGGGCTCGTTTTCATAGGCCTTTTTCTCCTGAATAGGCCAAGACAAGCAATAGGCAAAGGCGGTCACGTGGACAGCAGTTTAATGAAGAACACATAAAAACTAGAAACAGAGGGAACGTGATGGGACGAGGAGGTGCCAGAAGGGAAAAGATGCAGAAGTAAGAAATGAGCAGAGATTTTCCATGGACAAGGGCCAAAAAGCAGGCGTGATCGTAAACAACCAAAGTCGACCGTTTTCTGTACGCGGAGAAACGTGTTACAGATAGATGTATTTGATTTCCTTTACAGGCTGGAATATTTAATATTGGCCACCTTACACCAACCCAGATGATTTTACATGAGAGACGTTTCGTTCTGAAATGGCCCTGTTGATCTGAGCCTGTATTTAGGTAGAGGTGCAGATCGGAGAAAGTACTGAAGTTTTCAGAAATGAGACTCTGAGCTCAGGAAAACTGCATGGAGATGGAGCTGTGGGCAGAGCAAACACCTCCCCAAGGGCTCGCCTGGGCGGTGGCCGAGCGCAGGGCCCCCATGCCTGGCCCCAGGAGATCCCGCGGGGGAAGCAGCCGGCGGGCACAGCGCCGTTCCTCCGGCAGCCCCTTCGCAGCCCCCCGCCAGCTGCAGCTCCCGCCTTTGTCTCCCCAGCGCTGGCATGGGGCTGGGAAGGGGCTGCCAGGGGAACGGCCGCTGCTGCCAAG